GTATGTGGCTATTGTTCGGGACGAACAATACTAAGGAGGGGGCAGAGTTGCGTCAGTGAGGTCACGTGACTAGTGTCACGCCACCTATTTTTAGAAATATCCTGTTTCTTCGTGAATGCCCTAGCATTTACTAGATATATGTTTGTCTGGTATATATATATAAGATGCTCACAACGTGACGAGACAATTGAACTGCAGTCAGAAAGTATTGTTGAAGTTAACGTTCATTGTATAGCGTTTGTTATAGAGTGACTGTTGAAAATAAGTGTATCGGTAAAGTTATATTCAGAAAGAATAAACCAGTTTTATTAAGAAAGGACTTGTGTCGCTAAAGTTTCGTGGGAATGAAGTTACGGAAAATCAACTAACGAACGGAGACGTAACAATATTAAACATTCTGACAAATACTGTTAATAGAAGTAACATTAAAGCCAATGAAAGCCCATTAAATAGCTCCAGCAGGGTAACTTTAGAGGAGTATAGCAGGAAAATACAGATAGTCCAGCAAAATGATGATACAAAATAATAATAAATTAATTAAATGAATAACAGAACCTGTAATTAAAACATAAACAAATTAAATGTAATAAAAAGAAAAATAATATACTAAGTATATTATGAGGTGTGTGTGTAACACAATTAATCAGACTTTAACTAACCCTTGTCACTTTACAAGACACGTGAAGTGGGCAACAGAAAGTAATAAATAAAGTATAATCCTCAGTAGTAGCTGAAAGGCACGATAAGATTTGAGAAGGCTCCCAATAATAATACTTAGAAAGTAACAACAATGATAAATATGATCATTAAAGTAACTATTGTCTGTAGTGCACAATGATGTATAAAAGATATTTAATACTAGAAATAAACTGTCAGTTATGGTTTGTGTTTTAGCAGAACACTCCTGAAGAAATGGTAAAGCAAACAATTGAGTGTCCAATTAAAGAAAAATATCAAATTTTGGTGTTTTAAGGTAATTTATTTCTAGTATTAAAATTAATTAGCAAAAACTAATGTAAGTTAGGTTATAATTTTATACTATATAGGGAATTCCTCTGTACAAGTATCCCAATTGTAACATGTTACCTTAGTATCCAGTTTCAACTTTGAAGCATTTTTTCCAGCCAGCACTTTAAACAAAGGAAGAAGATCACAAGCATAACGACACATAGGTCCTGTAGAAAGAAAGCTGTCAAGTTCTTTCTCAGCTGATGGGTATTCTCCTTGATTTGAAACAATTCCTAAAATGGCATAGAAAAGCTATAAAGAACTTTGATTACTTATACAATAATGATGCATTTAAATGACAGCTTTTAGGATTAAAATGATTTGGTATCTTCTTATTTACATTTCAAACATCCTAACTTAGTTTATTTACTTATGTAGTTAAGAAAAAAATTTTTTAATTTTAATGTTCATTTATCATGATCAACAAAATTCTCACTAAACTAACATTTTTACTTTATCATGTGCAAATAACAATTTGATATATTTGTTGAATAACAGGGATTGATAAATGCTTTAATTTCCTATACTGAAAATGTATTTCTGATAGGTACTTACCCCCTCATTCAGTTCTGCTTTCTGTATGCAAAAACGTTTTTTTGCATGCCACAAGCCTTGAGTTCCCACGTATCCTATGTCATTATGGTTCAACTGTGTCTCACATGTAAATCATCATGAGACAGCCTCCCACCAATAGGAGTGTGACACCCCCCTGATGCATGACTCCATTTGATTCTACCAATCTATTACTTTACTATAGGTAAGCACCTATTGGAAATGTATTTTCAGTATAGGTAAATTATAACTACCAATATAGTATATTACCTCCGCTCACATAAATAGCTAGAATCTCAGATTGAATAGGTGGAGGGATCGGTGCTAGGGAAGGAAAGAAGTATCCTTCAAAAGCATGCAAAGAACACCCTAAAAGAGGAGATACTCACATTAGAGGATCATATGTGGGAGACTGCACTACTTCTGTACCAGGTATACTCTTTACCCATTGTGGATAGACGTGATGCAGACATGGGCAGAAAATGGAAAAAGCAGATCCAAAAGAGAGAGAACAGTGGGTGGATAGGGATCCAAACCACACAATTTCTGAATCTCAATCCCATAGATTACACGAATGTGGGTGAAAGTAAAAAGGATGTGCTCCTAAGTATAGATTGGCTAAGGAGCAACAGGCTGTACATAACAAGTCAACTAAAATCCAAAACTCAGCCACCAGGAACCAACATCCATGTGGGGGGTAAGAAAGAGGATCATACTAGTGGCAAATCAACCACAATCCAAAACCCAGCCATTTGGTGAGGGTAGGAAAGAGAATCGTGCCATCTTCACCTTAAATTCAGCAGAGAAGAGGGAAATCTTATACCCACCAATCTGTGGGAACAGGATACATAATAGCAATATAATAAATTGTTTGGCCAATCTGGGAACCCAACATCCAGATGGTCGGTATAAGAAAGATGTCTCTGTAAACACTCCCACTGAAAAACAATATGACATGAATGACCTTGGTATATGAAAATCATCAAGATATAGTGTAAGAAGATGAACAGTATTAATCTGCAAGTACCACCACTGTAACCCACAACACGAGTGAAGTGAACAAGAGTATAATTGAGTGAGGGAACAGACTCCTGTAATACACTTGTGAAGTCTTATGTTGATTAGTTCAACACATTGACATCCCAATCCAGAAGGGCCTTGCAGAGGAGGAGGATGAATCTGGAAGGAAAGCAACAATAAGAAGAGAGTAGGAAAGGTATAAACTTTACAGTACTTGGAAAAATGGAAAGTGTGGGATAAGGCAGTCCAATAACCCATGATTGAGGAGACCAAAGACCCTGATCAAACAGCCAAGTAAAGAAATCTGTAAGAAGAAGAACAGTAGGTTGAGCAGGTGAAAACCCCAATCCAAAGACCAACAGCGGAAAGTGTTCCACTTATGTTGACAAACATCCACAGAGGAAGGGTGAATGGAACAAGCTAAAAACGAAGTGACTCTCTGGGACAATCTGGATCTCCTTGCCAAGGACTGGATTAAAACCAAGTGTGACGAAGGAGGATATGAAGGGCTGGATGAAATTTCGGTGACTGAGGTTGATGTAGAAGGGATGGAGTAGGAGCAGCCCCAGAAACCATGGTTGTGCTGGCCAGTAAGGAGGAATCAGAAGGACTTGACACAGAGTGGCATGTATGATCGAAATCACCTTGGAAACAGAAGGATGGATGGGAGGATACACATAAAGGTATTCGTTAGTCCAATCCTGACTGAATACATTAAGAGCCAGTGCAAGTAGATCAAGAATCGGAGACCAAAACAGAAGTTATTTGGTATTGATTGTTGTGGTAAACACATCCAGGTGAGGAGTACCCCAACAAAGGCATAGCCAGTGGAGAACAAGAGGTTCGAGAGACCACTCTGTCAGATAAACTTTGTCAGGACAGGAAAGACAATCTGCAACATGATCAAATGCATCTGAAAGTGGCACAGAACGAGACAAGTACCGAGCAGGAAGGCCCAAAAATAGAGATTCATGGTTCAACCACAAAGGGAATGAGAACCTCATATGTGCCCGACCCAAGGGAATAGGGGCTTCCTTAGAAGACCACATCCCCAAAAGTGATAGAACCTCTAGAGCAGTACAGGCATGGAGAACTCAAAGCTCCTTCAAATGGAGTCAAAGAGAAGAAGATTGGGCCAGACTGAGATGAGTGTTGAAAAAAATCACTCAAGTTCCGCGGATAATACCCGAATAACCCATTGATCTCTGATGAAAACACGCCACAAGGGAACAAATTTTATTAATTGAGCCCCTACTGGACAGAACATTTCCATCAGTGTCAAATAAAACAATGAAAGGAGGAACCTCTGGAGGTAAGAACTGGTAAGGGCTAGGAAGGAATAGAATGGGAAACAGTAATAGGGAGTTTGTCTAGGCTTATAATGAGACAAACGATCCACCAAAGATGAAAGGGTCAATGGCTATATCACCGACTCCAAACAGGATTCCAAAGTCTCAGGAATATTATCAAAACCAGACAGCCAGAAAAAGGGTGGCCATACATAAGTCCAGAAGATAAGTAGATGGCAAACAAACATGGGACAATATAGCATCCCTCACCAGAAGATCCCAACAACAGAAACCACATGTGTAACGAAAGAGCCAAAGAAGACAAATGTGCCAATGTTGAGGTCATCAGGGAGAGGATATACCCTGGAAAGCCCTCAAGATTGCAGTGGAACTCCTCAGAAAGGAAGTGAATAGTAGACAAGTACCATAAGATAATATGAAGGTGGAAAAACTGGGCATAGGATAAATTAACAGGATGATCAGGGTCCACTTGCACACAGGCAAAAGCGATTCCAACTGTTGAGAATCAAGAAATGGAAAGTTAGCCTGATGGTATGCTAAAGCAAACTGATCTGAAGGGTGAGGCATGCTAGCACCCTCAACCGAGAGACAAAACACTCTGCATGAACCCTAATATCCAGAGAAGGGGGAACACAAAATACTGAGAGGAGAGAGATATGTAAAAATGTGGATTATAAGAAATTGGGTAATGGATAAAACAGAACACATCTGGAAAATCATGTCTAAAAAAGCCATTAAACCCAGCTGATTCTACAGTAGGAGCATAGGAAGACATGGCACAACCAAGTGGAGGAAAAAGACTGTCAAATTTCTCATCATAATTCCATAGCCAAGTTACCCCCACCTGCAGCCTGTGTAAACATGCTGGTAGATGGTATTACCTCCGAAGTAATAACTTGGAATTTGGAATTCCATATTAACAATGAATGAACAAAGACAACAGTGTTAGAATAACGAAATGAAACTGGAAAAAATTAGCTAACTTTAAGTTTACAAACTGTTTTGAAATTGAAAAGAAAAATTCTACTTTGGAATGAATGGCAAAAAAAAAAAAAAAAGAACACTAAGTTTAAAGAAAGAAAACCACGATAGAAGAGCACAATAAAAAAAAATCTTCACACAAGCACTTCCAAATGAGAAGTGATAGTTCGGTAGAATCAAATAGATGGAGTCACATGCATCAGGTGGGTGTGTCGCATTTCTATTGGTGGAGGGCTGTTGCAGCTGAGCCCTGTTGAATATAGGATATGTGGGAGCTCAAGGGTTGTGGCATGCGAAAAATAATTTTAGCATATAGAAGGCAGCACTGAATAAGTATAACTATTTATGTAAGAATAGGTAATGTACCATATCGGAATTTGTGCTTCTTAATATGATTTACTTAGAATCAATTTATTTAGTTCTAAAAAGATTATTCATTAATGATAAAAACTAGAATTACCTATCCTTTCCTAAGGTTGATTTGTGGATTTACATACACTACCATTACACTCATACATCTCTTATGGTACAACATGAATTATATTACTTATATATCATAACCATAGAGTTTGTAGGCAAACTTCAATCGTTATTCCTGAAGATGGTGGCACAAGAACACTGAAACATGTAGTCACTTTAGGGCTAGTTCATGTTTTATTAAATCATATATTGTGTAATTATTTTAGCATTCTACCCCTGTTAACTGTAAATATATATATATATATATATATTACACAAGTGATATTTTAAATTATATTTAAACTGAATCTTTTTTAAATCTTCACTCAGAAATTCTGATGTTATAAAGTTAGTATAAGAGAGTGAATGATACTGAAGTGGTTATTAACTTTATGTCAAAGTGGTTTGATTAGTTTATCAATTTATAGAGTTAGTGTTAAAGATAGGTCTAAACAAAAATTAATTCTTTAATCCATATATCCACCAGATTTACCTGTGGAACTTTTGTGACCAAAGATACCATTAATGAAAGATGGAATACGAATACTTCCACCAATGTCAGAACCAATCCCAATAACAGACCCAGCAGATGCCAGTAGACAACCTTCTCCCCCTGTACAATATATGCATGTCATATAAAAAAAGAAAAACAATCTTAAAGAAGATTTATGGCAAATGACAAACATTATCTCAACATCTACTGTTAACACAAAAAAAACATTTACCACAGACAATTCAATATTTCACACACACACACATACATATTGTTACGACAGCAGAAGTCACGCAACGCTGGGAGCATGCGCGCTGGATTTTCTAGAAAGATCATGACTTATCGGGGAACCTCACAAATGTCCCAGTGTTTGCTAGACGCTCTCTTTTTTAGTATATAAGCCAGCGAAAGATAGGCACCATAAGTAAAGTGTGTGAGTTGCTGTGAATTATAGTGTGTGTTTATAAAAGTAGTTCAGTTAAAGTAACTGTGGAAATTCTGTGTATTGCAAAGTTGTATCGAGAAAAAATAAACTAGTTTTATTTAAAAAAGGACTTGTATCGCTGAAATTCCTCGGTAAGAATTTATACCGGAAATTAACAAACAAACAGAGACGTAACAATATATATATACGTATATAATATTAGGGATGTGGAATTTATGTTGTTTGTTGTCCAAAAACAAGAAGAAATTATTTTATGTTTTTTTTCAGTTATTCTTACTATTGTTAGAAGAACACTGAGGATTTCTAGGAAGCTACACAATTGGCTGAAAATTCTGAAGTGTGGAACTACTGCATGCTTGAGTTCAGAGACATGCATTTTCAATGTCTGTCTATATACACACACACACAATACCATTTCAGTTAAGGTATCACATATATACATACATATATATATATATATATATATAAAGGTAAACAGTGCTTTCTTTTACCAGTATTTTACATGCTACACTGTAAAATCCTACAAACTAATTGTTAAGAAACCATAAATTATATGAACAAACATACATGAAGAGCTTAGATGCAAAATAAGGTACATGGTATTCCTTCAAAACAGCTGCCAATAGAATTGTAGTGAGAGATATGTAATATTTTAAAGCCATACGGATAGTGTTTTGTCAAAAAATTAAATAGTCTTGTAAAATTTATAATAAAGTTATTTTTTTTAGGCTTCCATATAGTAACTTGTAATAGTTTTATTTAATATATAACCCACTTTTGATGTCATAGCATTATTGTGAAACCTCCCAAAATAGCTATTTCTCATACTGGCAGAATATATGGTGTTTTGTAACTAAGCATTTCAAATATATATAATGTGGAGACTCGCTATAATGTGGTAGTCAGAATCCATATCATGGGACCGAGTTATAAGTGAGGCAAGTTATAGAAATGTTCTGTCAAATGACCACAAAAGGTGGGGCCACATATTCATTCACATTCCAAATTCCCAAAAATCTTGAATAAACAACACAAAGAACAAGACAACTTATTCAGATTTCAATAATACAAATTAAATTTTATTACAAAAATGTAAAAATAATAAAAATATGAAATACGTAATGTACATGAATTTTTTCAAGTATCATTACACAGTAGAATCGAAGAACTACTGTTTCTTCAGACTGTTTTAACAAAGGCGTTTTTGTAATAATTCCCAAACATAAATTTTTGATTTATTTTTCACAGGAGTCTTCCCAGCTTTCCTATTCAGATCCTACCTAATTTGACCTAGTAATGAGGTGGATGATATGGTGTCACATACAACACCATGCCCGATCTGGTCCTGCAAACTCTCTCCTTGACAAGCTTTTATGTAGCAGAAAAAAGTGCCAAATTTAGGAGCTATTTACATCTATGTTAGCAAATAAATTCAAAGAGGAAGTATTATAGGAGTAAAAGTGGAATTGGACTCGTGCAATTCATGAAATTCAGAGAAATCGAGCATGACTGACTGACACTTGGCTTTTATATATATATATATATTGATACTTTTGGAAAAAAAAAGCTGGTTTATGTATCAATGACTTTAGGTTGTCAACACAATTTGCAGAATTCAGCTTTGGTCATATGTAAGAATGTGGATAATTGTTGTGGGCTTCATGAGTTCATAAGATTCAACTTATTTCAGTGTTGTTTCAATGCCATCTGCGACAGATTTTATGGATGGCAGTTGCCTAGACGAGTTTTCATCTCCATCCTCACTTTTATTACCCATATCATTATCATTTTTATTGGTATCAGTGATGCTTACTATTATTCCATCTTTGGCCAATTGATCATAAGTGGCTTTATTTTCATTGATGTTCAACCATGCAGTGATGCCTTCTGGTTGTATATCATCTCAACTGACTTTTTGTACATTTTTCATATCAGCAACTTTGAATCCATCATACTCACATTATTGAATCCCAGGAAGCATTGTTTGCTTTTGTTAATTTCTTCCTCCGTGAAGCCACCAAAGTCGTTACTTTGTTGTTGCTAGCATTGGTAGAGGCAGTTGAGTTCAATGCTGTGGTTTTAAATGTGGGTCCTATCAGGGATTTCCAGTAGTTAGCTATAGATTTTATTGTAACCTCATTCCATGCCTGATTGCAGATGTGGATGCCTTTTGTGTTGTTGAGTTTTTTCTTTGGTATGTTATGATGTCCAAATCATGTCAACCATATTCTTGATTAGATCTCTTCAGTAACTTAATTTAAATGTAACAATTATGCCTTGGTCAAGGGGTTGAATTTTTCACATTGTATTCTTTAGAAGGTATACACATGTAATTTTGCTATCTTTGGTCTCAAGGTTCTCAAGTCATGGATGAGCTGGACAGTTGTCGAGTAATAGGATGCATTTCTCTTTAAACTTCTTATGTCACAGGTGTCTTCTGGCAGATGGAACAAATTCTCCATGAAACCAGTTTTCAAAAACTGAGGAAGTCCTTTAAGCACTTTGGCTGTTCATGTAAAGGCATGGTATCATATTGATATTGATATGGTGAAAAAAATCTCAATTTCTAGAACTTCTTGTGGATCAACAGTGGGAATTTATCTGAGTCAGTAGAGTTACAGCAGAGGAGGACAGTGAAGCATGACCTTATCTGTTGTTTTGTCTGGAAGCATTTTATAGTACATGAATGTTTCATCACAGTTATAAATCACTTATTTGGAGTAGCCACCATCTTGAATTATTTTCTTCAGTTCCTAAGGGTAGGCTTCAGCAGCAACAGTGTCAGTAGAACTCTGTTCTTCCTGGATGGTTACTTGATTTATACCATGGCAGTTTTTAAAGCCCATCTGCCACCTACTGCTGGCTTCAAATTTGTCGTCATTATCTAGACCCTGTGCAAACTTTTAGGCTTGTGCTTGGAGAACTAGTCCAGATATTGATGCATCTTTTGCTCACTATTGTGTGAACCATGTGATGACTGCCTTGTCAAGTTGCATGTTGTTGGGTAATCGAGCTTTCTTTCTTTGTTGTCCATCTTCACCTATCTCTATGGAAACTTCGCAATGTTTGTGTTCTTTTAACCAATCATGCAGCATAGACTCAGCCATTTAATGTATTACAAGATAGATGTCTGGATAGCCCTTTTCATTATTTCATCTATGATGGTGAGCTTTTCAGCAATAGTGTGTAATTTTCTTTTCCTGGAATTGACATTAGTAGCAGACATGAGGATAGCATTGTTGAAATCATACTGATGTTTTGCAATTGTTCTGGTGCCTCTTTTATAGGGGATTAAGCAGCAGTCAATTAGAATAACAAAATTTCATTGATTAATTTGCTAAATTAATTAAGATGGGGAAATTTCCAAGGTCGGTTAATAAATCACTGTTACTGAGTGGATACTCAAAAATCTCCATTCAAACTGTCTAATTAACAGCTAGGGCTGGAATTTTGGGTTCCATGAGAGATCCACATTATACTGAGATTCGAACTATAGCAATTTGTGATATATCATGGCTCCATTGCAATTCAAGTATGATTATTCATGTGCCCATAACCCATTTTATCAATTTCATAATGTAAAAAAATCTAACAGCTGGCACCAGACAAACAATATTGCAAAAAAAATTCCATATTTCAGTGCTTAAAATCTTATCACTCAGATATTTTTGTAAATCATATTTACATATCGTACTTTCATTAACTGTTAAAGAAACACTGTATCTACATATCTTTGGGACACTGCAAAAACATATTTCATATAAATATTATGATAAATTTAGACTTAAATTTATATAAATCATACAAACAGCTAGACAACAGTGATTTTATCTCACTTCTCAATGTATGAATCCCAGGTTTATATTTTTTCACTGTTAAATAAAAGGAAATTCCTAAATGCTATGTTCTACCTTTTTGTTGTTTTTTTGGGACAGGAAGGGAGAAAGTAGATTTTTCTATGCACTTTGTTCCTTGGATGAGAAGTGTTGTTTTCCACACTTCTGAATATTCTTAAATTCTATTTTCAATACACAGTTTTTCCTCTTGAACTTGTATATACTCAGAATAACGTTTTTTCACAAAATAAAAACTAACACACTGTTAATGGCTACTTTTTAAAAAATAATTTATATTCAGTGTCTGCTGAGAAATTATAACTTACATTTTCAGACAAGTGGCATACCACTATTCTTGTAACAGTCAAGAAAATTTGAAATCAGTATCTTAAATTATAATTCAATAAATGTAAACTATAGTGCATACATTATTTTTAAAAGATCAACCTGATATAGTTAATGGATAGGAAATAAGGTGATTATAACTACAAGTTAAAACTTGCATACATAATATCAGTAGACAGCATTACAGAGAATAAAACATTTGAAATTGGTAACAGCATTGAAACTGATCTCTTTTGAATGTGCAATGATACAGGTTTCTAATTTTGTAAGATTACTAAATAATGTTGCAACAGTAAACCTTAATTTAAATGATAATTAAAGTAATTAAAAACATGTAATTAAGACAAAATTTTGAGCAGATCACATTAATAATAATAACTATAGTTTTCATCTCTGTCTATGCTTTTTGATGCATAATGACATTGTAATTTGCTATAGTCTGTAGTAGTTTATATTATAAATCATAAATTTATTTTAAAAAACAAATATGTATT